AAATATGTATCATAACAGATTCCTCCAAACTGTATTATAATAGACTCCATATAAATTACCCAAAACCACAGACAAGAATCACTAATAATAATACAGTATAAAATAACCGCATTAAAAATGTCTTTAATTTTAAAACACGAACAAAAAAAATTCGAAGGAGACGGTTTCTTCTCTGCGCTAACATCTCTCATCCCCAAAGTGGCCAATTTTATCTCAAACAACAAATTTCATCTATGTATTAAATCTTTCGTATTAAAAATATATGGTGTTTATTTCATTGTTGAACAAATATGTCTTTAATAAATGTCCATCCTCTTAAAACGTATTTCGGTGCGGGAGACATTCAAAAGTCATTGGGTTCTCTTCCTGGATTCCTGAAACATTACCTCAAAGTCAAAGTTTTTGATAAAGATGAAATTTGGTCAGCCGATTTAATCAACATGCCAGTCGAGAGAGGGTACAAGTATTGTTTGACGGTGATCGACATATACACGAGATACGCTTGGGTCTTTCCCTTGAAAAACAAATCGGTCTGACTGTCAAACAAGCATTCGAAACCACAATGAAACAATCCGACAGACGACCCCTAAAGTTGTGGGTTGATAAAGGAAGCGAATTCTACAACAGAAATGTGAAATCTCTGGGGTTTGAAATTTACAGCACGCATAACGAAGGTAAAGCAGTAGTGATAGAAAGATTCAACAGGACTCTTAAAAGCAAATTATTCAAGAAATTCACGGAATTGAAATCTCAAAAATGGCTTAAAATATTACCAGTTGTTGTCGACGAATACAATAACAAAATACATTCGTCTATAGGTGTGACGCCAACGCAAGCCTCTAATAACCCGAATATCATAAAGTCCGTCAACACTCGAAACAACTTTGAAAACGAGATTAGCAATTTGAATGTTAAACCCAAATTCAAAGTTGGAGATCGAGTTCGTATTTTTAAATATAAATCATTGTTTCAGAAAGGTAACGTTGGGTATCGGACTAACGAGATATTTATCGTTGATAAAGTAAACAACACATCACCTCCCACGTATGAATTGATCGATCAAGACAAAGAACAAATCACAGGAAGGTTTTATCAAAATGAACTTCAAAAAACTGACTTTTAAAAATGAATCTCGAAAATGAAGATTTAGATGAAAGGTTAAGAAATTTAGATGTCGACAAGCATTTACTCTCTCTTAAATTAAGATTTTTTAAATTTAAATGTAAATTTATCTTCAAAATATTATTGAATGTGTTTTATCAGAATGTTATACAAGTTTTTTCAAACACAAACTACGTATATATTTCGTCAATTGGGTCTTCAGCAATACTTACCGCCTACTTCGAAAAACACCTCAAAAAAATCAACTTAAAAAATGAATGCATTTCTCGATAAATACGGAAAAGACACGACCACAAACTTTCAACTTGTAAAATGGGCCAAGGAGTTGAACGTCTCGCCGTTTTATTATTGCATGCGAGATGAAATTGATGAACTGAAATACAAAAAAGGTAAATTTTACGCCATCACAAACATTCATACTTCGGATCAAAAAGGAGTTCATCACTCTGCTCTACACAAAGATTCTTCGAATAACTTTTATTTCTTTGATTCTTTCGGTCTAGAACCAACAGAAGAGATAACGAAATTGACTAGCAAACCAATCAAATGTTCTACGTTTCAAATTCAAATGCCAGGACAAAAGCTGTGTGGACAACTGTCGCTTTGGGTTTTATATCGGTTGAGTTTGGGAGAAAAGTTTGAAGAAATTATAATAAATTTAACTCAATAAAAATGGCAAACAAGTTTGGATTAGGGTCTTTACCTCTAGAATCTAAAAATCCCATGAGTTCTACGGCGTTTATAAACAAAGCGAAACCTTCTTTCGTGGATCAAATCGGAGACACCTTGCAAGGAGATATCGATATGAACAATTTCAAAATAACTAATTTAAAGTTTCCAGGAAACGATAACGATTCCGTG